TAAATGGATGAGAGCAGTAGAAATATTAGATGATGATACTTTTCTAGGTTCTGAGACTCACGGCAATTTATTTGTGTGCCAAAAAGACAGGTAAACTTCATTCAGAGAAAGGTGCAAAATGTAAATTTTTAAACCATATGTACATTTTTAGTGCAGCTACAACAGACGAAGAACGGCAGTTGTTGCCTGAGGTAGCACGTTTTCATTTGGGAGATATTGTAAATGTTTTTCGTCATGGATCTTTAGTTATGCAAAATGTTGGCGAACGTACGACACCTACTACCGGTTGCGTACTTTATGGCACTGTAAATGGTGCTATCGGTATAGTAACGCAAATACCAGTCGACTTTTATGATTTTTTGCATAGTTTGGAAGAGAGATTATGTTCTGTTATCAAATCTTTGGGTAGCATTGAACACTCATTTTTCAGAAGTTTTCATACACAACTCAAAACTGAACCTAGTGAGGGCTTTATTGATGGAGTTTTAATTGAGAGCTTTCTGGACTTGACTAGAGAACAAATGAAAACTGCTGTAACTGGCTTGGAAGTATGTTTTAAAATTTTTAATTTAAAAAAAATTAATAAAGAAAATATATATATTTTAAATTTTTATTTTCTGTTTTTTTTTCCAGCTAACTGTTAATGGCGAGAGAAAGCTTGCAGAAGTTGAAGATGTCATCAAAATAGTTGAAGATCTTACAAGAATGCACTAAGAAATATAATTTTATATATTATTATTGCTAGTTTTTCAAAATTATTTAAAATAATTCAATATTACTGATTTTAATTACATCCTTTAAACTTTGATCAAAAAATCGACTACACAATTGCGTTATTTTGTTTTATACTTAATTGTACAGAATTAACATAAATATATAAAAATTAATTAAAAATAACTGTTTTTTTATTTTTGTTTCAATAAAATTCAAAGTTTGAATTAACTTATCATAAAATCTAAGCAAAAAATTCGAGTAAAGAAGATAATGCGAATTTGGATTTTTCACATTATTGAAAGATTGAATGGAATATCGTTATGGAAATATCAATGGATTATAATAGAACTTAAATGAATATATAGCGTAAAAACTTATAATCCAATAGATGTCAAATATTACAAATCAAACTTATTCAATTGGTAATGTTTTTAATGGTAATAGGCTAAATAGTATTCTTTATTGATTGTCTGTGTCTCATGAGTGAATTTATAATACGATATATCAGTCGTCGAATATTGGAGAAAACAATGGGCTTGACTTTTTAGCGCTTTTGACGTGTTTATCTTCAGTTTCGAATTGTTTTTATTTTCTGTTTTGGTTAGTATTTGACTTCTTTGCATGCCAAACTTATAAACTTCTGGTTTGGCAACGGTTATGATATCAAAGAAGATTTTTTGGTGATACTTTTTTAAAGAATATTCAGCCTTTATTAATAATATATTCAGAATATATTGAGTGGCGACAGGGTAGATGCTGATTTAATTACACGATCTTTCCCTTTTAAAGTACAATTTCTTTCTCTTTTTCAAAGGACGTTCAGATTGATACCTTTAATACTTGTATTCTTGATTGTCTTTTCAATTTTTTTTCTATAAAATTGATTTAAACATTAGTTTATTAATGTTTAAGCTTATTTATATAGATGTTAAATCTTAGACTGATTAGTATTTTACTTGTTTAAACTATTCAGACGCTAAAACTACAGTTCTAATTCTAAGTACATTTTAAATTCTAAGTAATTCTAAGTAAATATACAAATTAAATAATTATAAAGCTGAGAAAGAAGAAGAACCGAAGAATCAGAAAAGTAGTGCAATAATCTCTGGAATTAATAATTATTTCAGATAATATGATATTAAAAAAATTTAAAGTAGATTAATTTTTAAAACTTTAGCAGGTAGAGCAGATTTTTTTAATCCGCGAATCGTTACGGGTCGCAAAATATGGTTTTGTTTTCAACGATATTATTTTTTGTTAATAAAGTGAGGCAGGCCCTTGCAAAACATGTTGAATAGTGTAGGTTGAATAACATTAATCTAGAATGTACTGTTGACAGAAATTATACAAACAATATGCTAAGGATTGCTCACCAAACAATATATATGGTACACAAACATAATTTAGATTAGTTTTTGTTGATAACAATACTGTGGCAATTTAATCAAAACCACCATTCTTCATATGTTTTTTAAGAATAGAACATAAATCGTGGTAGTATCCTTAAAACATTAGCATTATGTTTCGGATTGTATTAAATATTTGGATTGTACAATTAAATCTTAAAAAATTACAAAGGTGAAGATACTTTTTATAGCGGACAGGTATAAAATTAAATTCATTAGACACTTAACAAATAAACTAATAATAGATCATTTTGACATACCTATTGTTCCTAGTATCAGATCAAAGAACAGAATTTTATTATTAAGAAATGAATTTCAAACGGAATTTAGTAGTCACTGCATAGAAATAATATAGCATTATTAATGAATACGTATAAATATAGTACTTTAATGAGTTTCGGAGGGTAGGCTGTAGCGCCTCAAGCTCTGTATTAGTAACTTACTGTACTATATCCGAGCAGCTTCAATATTGGTTTTTAAAAATATTTGTTTTTAATTTTAATTTCTTAGATTAGATTTCAACTCTACAAGCCTCTTATCAGGCTTGTCCTGCTGTAAAAGCTGGTGCAAAAGCTTGGGTCAGTAGCTTGGCTGGGGGAGGCGACTGGGCGCGCCCAACGAGTACTCACGTTTGTAATGGCAAACTAAGTAAGTAGTAACTTACTTTAATATATCTGGGCAGCTCGAATATTGGGTTTTTAAGTGTAATATTTTAAATTTAAAAATATTTCTATTTTATTTTTATCTTAGAAGGTTTTAACTCAAGAAGTATCTTTTCATGCCTGTGCTGCTATATGGTGCAGAAACTTGGACAACTACCCGTAAATGAGCTGGCGTGGGTTACTTCAACTAAGTAGGTAAGGTTTTAAGTTAACTGGAGTTTTTCTTTATTAATTAATTATCTAGTCATTATATTATATTTATCGATCTGTAATAACACAAAAAAAAAAAATTATACTGAAGGAAATTGCATTAAAATCAATTTGTCCTATATGTAAAACGAATTTCCACGAATTGCAAAATGATTTTCTAGTTTTGAATAAATTTTATAGATCATTTATGATCGTATCAGATGGCAGCGGCCATAATAGGCTTATATGCTATTGTAAATAAATTAAAGGAAATACTCCTCTATGTATGGTTGCATTTATAAAAAACTAACTAACACATTTATATCTCTTAAATATATGTACATATATATAGTATATTAGTATGTATTTGATATACAAGTTGTATGCAACAAAACACATTCGCATTTCCGATTCACACTGCGCAGGAGTTGTGTACATTTCTGTAGGTTTGTTTATATATACTATTCGCGTAATATTAATGTAAATATACGTGAGAGAGTACATAATCGGCCAAATGTTGGAATCTCAGCATGTCACACCAAACCGTCAGTCACGTTACAAATAATGCATACTCGTTTAAATATGCTATGTGATTCCTTTAAATAATTTTGTGTTGTTGTTGTTGTGTTGTTGTGTTGTTAGTGTTTTGTTGTGTATTTTGTATCGTTGATGTGCATTAAAAAAACACATAATCTCATTTGTTGTTGTTCTTTGGCAGCGTATGACACGCGGTTGCCGTTGTTGCTCGTACACATCGCTGTCATCGTCCGTCATTTTCATTCATTCATTGTTGCGCTTGTGTTGGTTTAGCCTGCTGCCTCCCTCCGCTATATGAAAATACAAGCCCACTACCGACTCATCGCATACCAATAACGGATGGTGTTGTAAATATGTGTTGTATGCATATATTTCCGCTGGATTTTTGGTCCATTTGTAGAGTTCATATGATTTTCGTGTATAATTGCTTTTCTCTGCTCATCGCGTTTTGTTGTGTTTCTGATCGGATAAGAAATATTTTTTAATAATAATAATAATAATCGGAAGAAATAAGCCAGTGATTTTCGTTCTTTGGTTTGTGTATTTAGTTCTGTTGTTGCTGTTGTGAATACTTAAATATTGTTGTATATTTATTTTTACAATAATGAATTTACACACATTAAAGAAAAACAAAAAAAACATTTTAACAAAAAAGTAAATATAATAAAAATATTCAATAACATGTAAAAAATGTAATTAAAAAATTTTTTTATAACAATTTATTTTTTTACTTAATATTTAAAATTTTTTAAGTGTCTAAAAACATTAAGTATTGTTAACAACAACAATAATAATAATAATAATAATCAATAAAATTTTACAATAATATTGCTAAATGCGTGTATAGAATGATTAAATAATTTTTAATTATATGTTAAATTTATATACATACATATATATAAATTTATATCAACTGCAGTTCTAATTCGATTTTTATAAAATATTTAACACAAAAAAAACTTGTGTTAAAGTTCTTCGAACTACATACGGATATCTTTCGGAATACCTGCGGCAAAACGGATTTTAAGAAAAGGTATACATATATTTATAAAAAAAATTATTTTGTATATCTCTTACTCTTATTTTTATTCTATATGAACAATGAATTAATACTCACTTCAATTAATATATTTCAAAGAAATACAAAAACTGTTGTACATAGTTATTTAAATGATATAGGTATATAAATTAATATAAAAGAGATTATATAAAAATTACCATTATTATACTTAATCACTTTAAAGTAATCTTTAATCTATTAACAGTATAATCTAAATATATATCAATTCTAATAAAATTGTTAAACATCATATATAACGATGAATGTGTGTTATGACTGTCATATGGGTTTTCAATATCTCCTATTATGGGACCATTTAAACAGACATAACCTGCATTGCTAAATACGATTTTTTCGTGTAAGGATGGACCTACTTCAAGTAGTTCCATATGTTAATCTGCAAGTTCAAGTACTGAGGTCAAATGAAATCTATATAATGAAAATCTTTTGTAATAATATTCAATGTGATGCCGTAAGAAAAATACAAAGTTCTTGAGAACGTTATTTAATTTACATATTTTTCAACATTACATTAACGTTTTGATGGATAAGTCTCTTAACATATCAAATAGTATTATTAGATACGAATAAGCTTTATATATTAAATCTGTTGACAAATAAAAGTTTAGCCTAAATAAAAAATTATGGTTATATTTATGAATGGTTTTTATTGGTCACAGTACACTGGTATCAATAAAAAATGGAGTAGTGTTTCAATATTTGTAGCAATCTTACGGGTTTCTAAAAGCTTTTTATTATCCTCGGATACTGTTGTTAAAACTCTTAAGTTCTATAATTTTAAAGAGTATACACTTTCGGCTACTTTAAATTGGGGCTAAAATATCCATGGTTCCTATACAATTTTTTTCTTAATTATCTACAAATGAAACCACTGCGATTGGTTGTTATACAATTTTTCCTTTCATTATCTACAAAAGAATAGTAATTAGTTTTGTTTAAATACTGATAATGTTACCTGCAGTAATGTGTCAGTTTATTTTAAGGTTTTTCATTTAATAATGTGGATCGTTTAACAACCACTGAACGAGTTGAAGTTGTAAAAACTTATTACAAATATGGTGATAATTTTTTATATCGAAATTTTTTTAGTAATGTGGTTTATTTATCGTTTGGTAAATATGTCGACAAATTAATCTATCTATAAAATTTATAAATACCTGCTGGCAGACTATTGCATACACAAATAGTTACTGTATTTAATCTGGAGGTGTGGTGGAACATCAAGAAATACCTCGTATGCTCCGTGGAGGTATTTAAATGATATAT